CCACGGCCACTGACCCAAACACCTCTCAGGGGGTTAAGCAGAAATTACTGGTTTGGAAAGCCCAAGACATCACTGCCCCCCTCGAGGCTAGAGCTCAGTTCAGGATAGGAAGAAGCTATGAGTCAGATGAGCTTCATATGTGCTGTGCTGCAGAAGGGGCTTTATTCCGGTCACCAGTATCCTAAGGGAGGGCATGGGAGAGGAGAAGACAGAAGCTAAATGCTCTCAAACATAGCTCAAGGGCAGCACAAACCAGCCAATAGGAAGGCAGAGGAAGAAGGTGGCTGTTCCCAGCTGATATGCCATTTGTCTCACACTCAGCATGTCTTTGAAGTAGCAAGGGCTATTCCAGAGCACCCTTCACTGTATTTCTCTCTCTCTCTCTCTCTCTCTCTCTCTCTCCGCCTTCCTTTCTCAACTCTGTTGTGAGATTTATCACATTTGGGTCCCAACCTTCACACAGCAACCATCCAATATACTGTGAAATGTGCTAACACAAACAACACACTGCCCCAGGCCCCTGGCTGGGAAGGTCTGAAACAGCTCCTCATCCCCTTTAAATGAACAGAATTAATAGTCAAGGCTCTTTCCTTCCCCCTCCCACCCAAGTCTGCGTTGGAGTAAGCATTCCTGGTTTAGTTTTTGGCAATGAATGCTGCAGTGGTGAGGGGGATATGCCAGCCCCTGCAGGCTTCTCTGTACGCTCTGTTCTCAGGGCTGTTTGCTGTGCGGGCCGCAGGCTTCAGGCCTTTGAAGGGTTGAATACCATCTTTTGATTTACCATGGCTGATGGGGTGTGAGAAGCTTTACAACTCAAATACACAAGGGAAAAAAACAAAACAAAAAACAGCACAGAAAAATACTCAAACCATAACAGAACCCAAATGGAATTGAATGAGAAAAAAAGGACAGTTCTTAGTAATAGCTTTAAATAACTTAGAAAAAAAGCACAACTAGATAATACACCACTCAAAACAGTCTGTGCTGATACAGATCTGGCACTTACCAGCCCATTTGGGGATTCGGATGTATGACTGGTCAGATCTGAGCTCCCCCTTATTTGGAGTTGGTGGCCGTCTGTCACTTAAAAGGGCATTTTGGCACTGTCAAGCCAGAAGGTCTTGGATTTCACTTGAATGTAACCTATCTCCTCAAATAGTTGACAAGAACGCCAACTAAACAACCGGGAGTTGATGGCTTGGCTTCTTGGCACTGCAAAGCCTCCCCCACCCCCCAAGGTCTCAGATTTGATCTCTTCCTTCAATAACATAATCTAAGCCCTTTGGAAAACAGAGAAGTCCTGATTTAAGGTCTTGTGGGAAACCTTTGTAACTCTGGGAGGTTCAGACTACTAGGGTTAACTTGGTTCAGTATTCCAAATAATGGAAATTAAGGTTCTGTGGCTCAAATCACTGGGGGAGCAGAGATGCACAGGCTCTCCCCAGCTGCAGCATTAGTCATTTTATTGGAGCACAGACCTTCAGAGCTCTGCAGGGCTAAAGCTCCATGTCTGCAAAGCTTAGGAGCTCAGCAAAAATAATGATTCAGTCACTCCTGCTCCAGCATAACTGACCTTCAGTAACAGAGTTTTGGTTCACTAGGGTTTCCCCAGGTACCAGTCCTTTAGCCAAGGACAGTATGTAGCGTATATTGTAACATGAAACTCTTGGTCAAAACTTTGGTAAAATGCTCAGAAAGCATTTTCAGTCATATTCTTTACGTGGTAGGGCATTAAAAGCTAGATGTTTAGCATTTGGGCCAGGTCTAATGGTCTCCAGAAGGTCTGTAACAAGTTACCACAGCTGATGGAACAAGCAATATTGGCAGGCATTGGAAGAAAATGTTTTCTGCTCCCCTTACCAAAGGGAAAGCCACTGTGATGTAAAGCTGAACCCTTTAAAGTGAGGAGGGGGAGATTAAAGGGGCAGAAAATGTTTCCTGTCTTGCCTTGCAGGTACCAGAGTGCCCTCTTCCCTCACTGACTTCCATGGAAGTTGAGGGTGTCTCAATACCTACCAGGTGGCACCTTGCTCAGCAGAAAAAGGGGGTAGAGCTCAGTAAGGACAATACTTTACATGCTGAAGTGCCTTGTGAGAGAGGATCTCCAAGTGCTTTGCAAGCATCCACTACTGAAGCCTCACTGCTTCCCTATGAGGTAAGGTAGCTTTAGCACCTTTAGCAGAGGGATAAAGTGAGGCACTAGAGGGTAAAGGGACTTGCTCAGGATTACAGTGAGATCATGGCAAAATTCAGAATAGAACCCAGGTGTCCCAGATTCCCAAACCCGGCTCTGACAACATAACACTCTCTCCCTCTTAAAATATGAGATTTGGCCTCACAGCACTTTGATTGTCAAACAGACAAACTTTTTCACTCTAATTATCAGAAAGAATTTCAGAAAAGGGACTGCAGGAAGGGACAGAAATTCTCAGGGTGCTAGATTATTTGGACAAATAGCATTGGATGGGAAAAGAAGCAGCTGCAAACACAATAATCGCACACATGCTGGAGTTGTTTGAAAGATTCTCTTTATACGTTAGACTACAGAACAATAATTCTTTGGAATTGATCCCTAAAGGGGACATGGTAGGCATAAGGAATTCTCCACTTCACTTAGAACTGATACAGGCAGAGATGGATGCCACTTGAGAAGTCATTGTGGCGGCTGGGATGATCTATTTCCCCATGGACCAGTGCAATTTAGTACTACCTCTGCTGCCATGCTGGCTGGACACTCAATGATGCTTTACAGTGCTCTAGTTCAGCTGAGTACAGCATGTAAATGCCAGACCGCAGGAGCTATGTAACAGTGCAGTATTTTTCCATCTAAGGGAACACTTAGTGCTTCCAGATCCTCATGGGATGGAGACTCTTTTCATTTCTCATTTTTAAAGATAGGAGCTTGTTCAAACAGATCATTCCCTTTTCACCCTCCAAACCCAACAGTAAAAGAAAGGGCTGACTTTCCCTTCCAGAGCCAAAAGAGTTCTTTTGGAAGCGTTAATGCCACCTCTTGAGTCAGCCCTAGAGGGGTGACTGGAGGGCAATATGTTACACTGTTCCTTGTTGACCTCCAACAGCTGAAAGTCCAGATGAGGACGAAGGTGGAGCAGTCCCTAGAAGAACCATTCAAGTTATGTTTCATTCAGCTCTGGTGCGGCATGATCTAGAGGATACCACCTATGTCTAGCTGTGACATGATTCAATGACGGAATCACATCAATATATAGTCCGATGTGTGACACTGTCACGGCACTGTGCAAAATCATTGCAATGTCTCTTCTTCATATTATGGCCCAGCCAGGGCTCAGGAGCGAGTTTCCTATTGATAGTTCATAGTATTTGGAAGATGTCACAATGGGGCTTGGAATTTCAAAAGCTAGCCCAAGCTCATCGTGGAGCATACACTTAGTTCCTGTTAGATACCCTAAATATTAGGGGAGGCTTATCATTTCCAATAAGTACCATGGCTCTGCAGTTCTAGCTCAGATTCTCCTCTCAGTTATACTGGTGCAACCACAGGTAGTCAACCAGATAGCAGCAGTATAAGTGAGAAGAGTATTTCACTTTGTGCTTATGTTCAACTCCAAAAATACCAAACAACCAAACCCACCCAATATCTCTTATCCCTTCCCCACCACACACACACTGGCACTTTGCCTCTTCAAGTTTTTCAGACATGAGAGTCAAAAAGCTGCCACCAGGGGACCCATCCACCTGCTGGCCTACAATAGTGAGAGAATGAGGGGAAGCTAGATGCATCCTCAAGCAAGTATCCCTAGATAATTAGAGTGGATTGTTTTGTTGATCTACAGACCCCAGTTACTCAGTTCAGGTTAATAAGAGAGTGTGTTTGTTATGAAGGAAACTCTCCCACAACCCTCATTTTTATTATCAAATTTGTTCCCGCTCAGGTTCTGTCTGGGAATGAATAACTTTGAGGAGACAGAAGTAGGCTTGGCAAGCTGGTCAACTGACTCAAACAATGTCAGTTGTTTGGTCAACTGAACGCCTATTTGACCATGGTCAAATATTTCAGCAAGAATGTCCCGATGCAGGTGGCGGCCTACCTTTTTGATTGCATCGGGTTGCTATTCGTGCATTTTTTAAGAACTTCATGTAATTGTGTTTCACATTTTTCTGAGTTAAGATAACTCAGTTAAGTAATTTTTTGTAATTAGGAATAAGTATCTAAGGCTTACGCTATCAAAATCATAAAGTCTTACTCTTTTGTTATTGTTGTCATGGTTCTAATATCTGAGTGCTTTAAAATATTTGATCATTTTGACATAATTTGACTGATCAATTGACCAATTATTTTTGAACTGGTAAATTGACCCACCCTACACAGAATATAACCTCTCTGGGTGCTCCCCCTATCTTTATTACTGATGTCTTTGAGTTTAAAAAACACACTAAGCCATTCAACAGAAAGAGTCTTAAAGGCTACAACCTACATTAGAGTTACTTGAACATGTAGCGCCATTACTGCAGAACACAACAGTATTTTTTATAAGGGCTTGGGCCCTGAGAAGATTCAGCATTCAAACCATTAGACCAAGACCAGTCTCTTGAGAGCATGGGATTCACAGCACCTACCCCTTCCCTCCATGTCTGTTTGGCTTCCCTCCCATGCCCTGCTTTGACTGTTTTGAGTGGTGAAAAAGAGGCTGAATTAATGAGTATATGATTGATCAAAAGATGGACCAAGTAGCATGTTTTACACAAAGCTAACCAGTTCCAGACCAAGAAAGGAAACTTAAAAACATAAAGACTTAAAAACCACCACTATCCATGACCAAGAATTGACATCAAATGTCCATGCAGAAACTGTCAGAGAGAATTTCTCTCTCCGCAGATAGTATCATTACAAGGGTCTCAGCAGCTACTTTAGAAATCAATCATATCCGATCAAACCAACAGAAAAAAAGAAAAATGATAAAGAAAACACTAATCACAAGCCCAAACTAAAAGTGGAAGGGGGAATCTCTGTACGATACCTAAATTGACCATGAGTTTGACACGCCCTCCATCTAGCTCCAGGCGAAGGGTGTCAGCAGAATCCCGTGAAGTGGTGGCCATTAACAGCCCATAGGCACGCTGGGACATGAAGCGGAAAGACACATCTTCTGCCTCTGTGTGCATGACCATGGGCATGATGATCTTCATATACATGCTGCCATCGTAGCTCAAGATGGAAGCCTCTGCGGAGAAGAAAAGAAACAATGACTAACCATGAGAGCTACATAATGCTTCTCTGGCACACTTACACACTGTTTATATAAAAAGAAGAACAGGAGGACTTGTGGCACCTTAGAGACTAACAAATTTATTAGAGCATAAGCTTTCGTGGACTACA